TTTTTTTCTTAATGGGGGACCAAAACAACAAAAGTATAATTCTTTTTTTTTTTAATTGAAAAATAAAAAGTACCATTCTTACACAATAAAAATGGAAATGATCAGATTTTGTAAAAAGAAATATAAGAATATGATTATTCTTTTTTGTTAAAGAAATATAAGAATATGATCATATTATTATTTCTCTCTTTACAATTACAACCACAAATATCTTTGTAAACGGATGGATATAGAAATATTTATGTATGAACATGTGATTTTTTTTATATGTAGATTTCCAAAAAGGATACTTACGATCATATTTATGTACTTACGATCATATTTAGCTCACGAAATATGCGATTTTAACATACATTTATTTGGGGTATGCCTTTACCGGTTGAGCAAATATCAATAGATCACTTAGACGTAGAAAATATTATGTTTAGCTTTTTCTTGTCGTCTTTGTTTGACTATTTTTAATTCTAGACTTATTATGATCTGCCGTACAAAAGCAATGAAAGTGTATTGATTTATCTACAGTATATTTTTAGTTAAACTGGTTAGGGAGAATATTATAGTGAATCCATAATAATTATGTAATAATGAGAAGCAATGAAAGACACGACGCAATGCTAATTAATTTGAATGAGATTTTGGTGGGGAGGGACCATTTTGCATTCATAACCTAAAAAGGCTTTACCAATTACTCAAGTTTGTTAAAATTAAATGCCTCAACGTCGCTGCCCTTTTCACATCTTTTATCACTTACAAACTATGTTGCATAGAATCAGAAACGAATACGCAGAAACGAAACGTTTGGAAGCGTATAATCGATTTTTTACAATGTTTCAGGAAGCGGATACGTGTTGGAAGCGTATATATAATAATAATACTCCAAATACGAAATGTATTAAAAAATTGTGTTAAACAATATCAAAAATTAGATTCAAAATTCCAAACAAACGAAACGAATAGTATCAAAATTAGATTTAATAACTTTACCAAAAGATTAAGTCAAAGACACATATTTGGTATTACCTCTCTATGTCACGATGGAGAAAACGCACAGACAAGTTTAGCAAAAAAATAAGACGGAGAGACTAAAAAGAACAATCAATAAATTAGAGGATTTTAGTTAGACTAATAAAATATCATATATCTCCA